AGCCCCGAAGCCCCCACACCTCAGCCGGACTCCTGGCCCCAGACGCGGCCCCGCGATCTCGGGTCCCCAGCCGTCCCTGGCCACACCCCCGGCGGCCCCAGACCCCGCCCCGCGGACTCGAGACCGACCCGGGCTGGGTCTCACCCCTCAGCCCCCCTGCGCCTGGCCCTCGGCCCCTGGCCTGTTCCCTGTTCAGCCCCTCCCCGCAGCCCCGAGTCCCCAGCCCAGCTCCGCCCCCTTGGAATAACAGCTGTGCCTCGTGTCTGTCTCTCTCTTTCTCTCTCTCTCTTTCTCTCCCCCCCCCCCCCCACTTGCGGCCTCCGGGGACTTCGCGCCAGCGGGGGAGGAACCTCGGGACCCTTTCTTAAAGGGGCGATAGCGCGTCTTTGGAGGTGCTGAGCACTGAGAGGCTGACGGTGGACGCAGGACAGACTCAAGGCTGCTTCAAGCCCGCCCTGCATGAGTCCAAGATAACGATAACCAACGGCTCCCCGCCCCCAGGGAACCGCGTGCCAGACACCACCTGCGTCTGTCCTGGCCCCTCGCGTGACCTACCCCACCCATCAACTCCTCCCTGGCGGGGCCCCAGGTGTACTCCACCCCTCAAGGAGTCCTGGACTGGAGTCAAGAGCTCAGAGGTACCCCTTCTGGGGGTGACTGCCCATGGGTAGGAAGAGGGACAGCCTAATCTACCAGGAGCTCACCCGCCCAGGGAATGTGTGGGGCCAGAAGGCCCCCGTCTGCTCTGACTGTGACTAGGCTGGGGTGGCTTCAGGCCTGAGGGAAAGGGACTATGGGGAGACCCGGGGTGCAGGCAGCCTTGAGGCCTGGGTCCTGGGTGTGGCAGAGGGAGGACTAGAGGAGGACCCCACTGGGCAGAGGTGTGGGGGTGGGACTCAGCTCCAGTGGAGCAGATGGTCAGAGGGAGGCAGGTTAGGTCGGTCCCAAGGCTGTGTGCACAGGCTGGGCTGGACTTACTTATCCCGTCTGTCATAGGAAGCCACTGGGGTTCCAGGTCAGGGTGAGACATGGTCACTCTGTCCTCAGGAGAGGAACCTTGTTCTGGGAGGCAGAAGATGGTCCTGGTCAGGCCCCAGAGAGGAGTGGGACCTGAGCAGAGGGACACGTGGGGGTGGGGGAGAAAAGGGTCTACACCAGGCGAGGGACACAGGCTATCCTCCTGGGACAGCCCTGCAGCCTTGGGCAGTTGCTCTTGGCTCCAGCGGCCCAGGGCCAGAGGGTCCCAGCTCCTAGGTGACCTGGTCGAGCAGCACCACGAGGAAGGGCACTTGCAGAGTGCTCACTGGAATCCCATCCTTGGAGCTCTGGGTGCTGCTCTCACTGGCCCCTTCACAGAGGAGTCAGCTGAGATCCGTTTCCTGCAGCAACCTCAACCCTGACCAGCTGCGAGTAGATAAACCACCAGAGCCAGATTATAGGCAGCAGAAACTGCAACAATGTGAGTCACAACCAGAGAACAGAGGTGGGCTGTCTCCAGGGCCCCCAACAAACCATCAGAGGGGCTTGGGGAAACAGACAGGAGCCTGACACCAGGCAAGGCTGCCTCAGTCAACAGAATGAGGCCACAATGTCAACGCGGCCCAGGAGCTTAGCAAGGACAGCAAATCAGGGGGAAGCCCTGTCCCTGAGGCCTGGGGGCAGACCTGGGACAGTCAGAGGGACTTCCGCAGGGCGAAAGCCAGACCCTGCGAGGAGCTGGGGCCATTTCTTCCTGGGAGAGACAGCCTCACTCAGAGGAGAGCTGCAGGACACTCCCCCCGACCAGAGCTGTGTGTTCTTTTTTTTTTTTTTCCTTCCATATTGAACCTGGTGTATTAAATTGCTGTAGCAGTTGTAACAATTTACTACAAACTGGGTGGCCCCAAACAGCAGAAATCTATCGCGCCACAGTCTGGAGGCTGTAAGTCCCAAATCAAGGAGTGGGCAGGCCATGCCCTCTGGCGGCCCTAGGGGAGGACATCCTTGATTCTAGCTCTCATGGCCCCAGTGTCTCTTGGCTTACGGCCCCATTGCTCCAATCTCTGCCTCTGTCTTCTGCATGTTTCTCATAAAGGTGCTTGTGATCGGATTTAGAGCCTGCCCAGGTAATCCGAGATCATTTTATATCAAGGTCCTTAACCCAGTCACATCAGCAAAGACCCTTCTTCCATATAAGGTCCATTCACAAGTTCCCAGCATTAGAACATATCTTTTGTGGTCTGCCATTCAACCACTGCACTTGAAGAGGCCAGACTAAGGTTCTGGGGTGCTCTCCTGTACCCCCCCCCCAGCAGAGCAGCCAGAACAACAGGATAAGTGTGTGGGCACCCCCTTCCTGGGCACCACCCCCACTGCTGGAGTTGCCTCAGCACCATGAAAACATCTGCGGGGCCCCATGCACCACACTGCCATGTGCACAGATTTTTCCAGGTGACACTGGAGAAATGTCTGTCAACAAACACTCTCGGAACATAGAGGCCCGAGCCCTAGAGCTACACGGCGGGGACAGTCTGACCCCAACCAGGGCCAGGTTGGAGGCAACCCGAGGACGGTGGAGTGAGCTCTGCTCTTCCTTTGAAAGCAAATTTGGTCTGCTCCAGTTCGTGGCAGAAATGCAAAGGGGGGTGGTGGCCCCAACATCTCCGCCCTGAAGGGAAAAGCCCCCACAGATAATAGCATTCAGATGTGCTTCCCACACGAAGGGGCTTTCACCCTTGAACCCGCCACAACCCCCCACAGGGAAAGCTCACCTGCTCCCATGGAATGTGGAGATGGGCCTCGAAGCACAGATGTGTGGGTTGCCTGCTCTCCAGTGTCTTGCCTGCTGGCTCTCCAGCACCTCCTCACATTGTTGTTTGGGGGTCCCTAGAGTTCTGGGAACTGGCCTCCTCCAGGGCCCCAGGGCTGGAGCTCCCAGATGCCACAGTTCAGCACATTCCACCCCCTGGCCTGTGATTGGCTTAGAGGTGGACACATGACCCAAGCTAGTGAATCTGTCTTTTGGAGGGGATGCTGCTATGAAGCCATGTTCTCCTGCTGGATGTACACCAGGGAGAGCTTGTAGCCTTGGGAGCTGCATCTTGGGAGCTTAAGATGAAGATGGAACTGCAGAGCAAAGAGACAGAGAGAGAGCTGGTTGTCGGCAATATTGTTGAGCTGCTGGATCAAGCCTCGCCTGAACGCCAACTTGCCACTGGACTTTTCTTCACATGAGTCAATCACTTTCCTTTGTTTTTAAAGCCATTTGGGTTTGGGGTTTATGTCTCTAGTAACTAGACTCTAGAAAAATTCCAGACTAAGATAGATGTGGGAGGGGCTGAGGTCGGAGGGGTGTGGGTTCTTACTGCCATAGCCTCCAATCTGAGCCGTCAGGCTGGCAATCTGAGAAGCTGGCCCAGTCTCAGCACATTCTGGGCCCTGAATCCTTAGCCATTGTGGCCAAGTGTCATCCAGCAGAGCTGCAAGTCGCTGGGTGTTTTAGGACAGAATGACAGGTCAGGACTTTCAGGGATAGTTCCACTGCCGTAGGACGCACAGCCTCTCGAATGAGCAGGGCCACATGTCCCGGCACCCTCCCATTTGTCATGTCTTTCTATCACAGTCCCCAGTTCTCCCTGTGCATCAGTCAGAGGCAGCAGCAGGGCGTCAGAGAGGGCCAGCCAGGTCCTCTCTACGTGGGGCTGTGTCTGAGCACCAGAGGCCAGGAGTTGGGCACCCCGGCTGGGCAGACCAGAACCAAGCCCATGCTCTGGTTTCCAGGTGTAGGGCAAAGCGGTTTCAGGAAGGACCTGGCAGTGGAAGGTGATCAATAGAAGACAAAAATGGGCAGAGACAAACACAGGAATCAGGAGGGGACAGACATGTCCAGTGCACGTGTGCTTGGCCCCACCACCATTAAGGAAATGGAGTCTCCCACGTGCTGCTGGTATCGCAGAGACAAACAGCTTGATGAGGCGCAGCAAGGCAGAGGTCACAAGAAGAGCCGCACACACGTCAGCGCTTTGGTCCCAAGGCCTTGGGAACACTTTGGGAGGATCTGCCAGAGTTCACCCCAAGCGTCTACTTCTGGGGACCTATGCCGTGAAACACACGAGCACAGAGAAATCATCGCACAACTGTGGTGGCGAAGCAACATAGTAACGAGAATGGTGACAGAGATGACAATAGAAGGAAGCTACGGTCTCCAAGAGGGGGCCAGTTGGTGAAGTGACAATGTGTACCTGCAGCCAGAGGCTGACAAGGAAAGAGTGCCTTGGAGCAGGGCGCGCAAAGTGCCACAGTCTGTATGTTTATGTGGGAAAACCAGTCTGGCTGGTCCAGCCCTGTGTAGCCCCAAGTGTTTCTTCAGGCTCTGACACCCCTGCCAGAGCTGGTGGACCCCCTAGACCAGCTAACCAGGCTGTGGGGCTCCCCCACGGCCACCGACAACCAGCGCTCACAGCCCCAGAGCTGTTACTTGCACGTGTTTGGGACAAAACCACCATGGTTCTGCCTCTGAGACTGGGGCTGGGTTTCCAGATCAGGGGACAGGATGGGGCCACCCCCCATGCCCAAGATCCACTTGCCCTCCTTCTGCTCTGAAAACGACTAGAAGCTGGGTGCCAACCTTGGCTCCATACGTACCAGCTTTTCGACCTTGGGCAAATTACTTCATTGTTGTGGGCCTCAGATTCTTCACCTGAACAGTGGGTTCGTCTCAGAAAGAGCACCCAGAGTTGCTGTGTGGCTTAAAGGAGATCGTCCTTACCGAGCCCAGGGCCTGACTTCTGGCAAGTACTCAGAACATGTGGGCCCCTGGCCTGAAAGGGGAATTGGAGACCTCCTTTCACAGGTGGGGAAACTGAGTCCAGGAAAAAGTAGCGATTTTCCCCAAGCCCAGGAGCG